TAATTTTCAAATCTTCAATATTTAACTGGAGCTGGATCTTTTCCAGGATCTTGGCAAGATGGGGTAAGACTGATATCTGGCGGAAATCATTGTTAATGTCTCTCGGCGGTTGCACTTTAGGAACAGGGGAAATTAGGGCATGTTTGTAGAGTGATGGATAACAACATTGACTTATACTACAGCACACAATGTCATAAACCACAGGAGCTAGGTCTTCGTGGTATTGTTTGAGCATCCATGGTTTTTTCAGGTAAGAACTCGTCAAGCATCTTGATTATAATGGAGTTATAAGCTGATACTTTCTCATCCACATCCAGTGCTGAATATACAGTAGTCCAATCTTCAGAAGCCATATTCAGGGAGAGGTCATTTAAATTTTCTCGTTTCATCAATCTAATTTTTTTTGACGTAACCGGAGTTTTCTGTCTTTTAATGGGCTTGATTAGAAGACATTGGTGGTCGGAGCGTCCGATTGGGGGAGATGGCTAACAGTGTCAAAGAGAGGGAGCATATTTGTAAGGATTTGATCAAGAATGTTGTGTCCTCTAGTCGGTTTAGTTACAGATCTTTTTAAATTAAATCTGTTACAAGTTCTCTTAATTTTAGTTGATTGAAGTCCCCAGCTATAACAATTCCAGATGAAGGACGTTCGCGCAAGAGACTATCTATACAAGTAGTTAAGTATTCATTCATATCGATTGCTTGTTCGGCGGATTGACCAGGAGGGTAGTACACAACAGCAGCAACGATTGTACTGTAAGGTCTAGGGGTTCTGGTGGGTTTTAACAACAACCATATCACTTCTTTGTTTTCTTCTTCGAGGTGAGTCATACGCTCTGCTGGTAAACAATTATTCACGTAGGCGATCACTCCACCGCCAGGAGACTTTCTATCGCGACGAAATATGTTGTATTTATTACCGATCTTAACCGAGGCATCACCGATATCATCACTTAGCCAAGATTCAGTTATCATTACCACGGATGGGTCATAGATCGATACAACAGCAGCTAATTTGTCTACCTTATTTGTTATATGGCATACATTAGACAAGAGGAAGGACGGGACTGAGGACTTTCCAATGGTGGGGTTTGTATTAGTCTTAATGTTAATTAAATTATTAAAATTTACATTTCTCTGAGATGTATAATTATCACTTGTCCGTTGGATTGCGCCTAAACGAGGGTTCCAAACTGGTCCAAGGTGCGGTTGACCAGCTGTAGGTAAGCTTCCCAGGACTCCGTTTCTCCAAGCTGTAACTCTGACTTTGATTGGAAAGGATTCACTTTGTATGCCGGGTTGATTTGACTTGCTCTTGCATCTATATTGTCTGCGGTTGTTCTTGGTTTCGGAATCCTCCGATAGTGACCGCTTCGACGGGTTTGGTTTTGACTTGCACAACAACGTTGAAAATTTAATTTTAAACGACGATTTCTGTATATATTCTATTCAGAACTGTTGCTTTTCGTAAAAAAAAGCCCACTAGAATGGGGTTTTAGACACTTTTTTCACTTTATAAAACTTTTTTTTCCTTTTTAAGTCTCGATATAAAAATTTTGCAAACTTTGCAGTTGAGAAAACGATCGCACTCCCTGCAACCGCGCGAAATTCCCCGCCTCAGGAGTCTGGAACCAACCAAAATGCCTTTATAAATCCACCATTTTGTGGAGACAAATTTTTCACTGAGAAAAGATAGGAGTACGTGTTCTATATCTATTATTTCTATGCTTAATTAAAACTCTAGAAGGTCGTATAGACAAGATATGTATATTAATCTTATTAAGTCGATCGCTGCTTGTTACTCAAAAGAAAAACTGTGTTATTCATATTAACAACAACAGATCCTTGCCAAGTGTTATGTTGGTAAACGCAAGATCTCTTCCTAACAAAATAACGAGTTGGAAATACTTGTTGAGATGAAGGAGATTGATTTAGTTTGTGTCACGGAAACAACAACAACAACCCAGCCATTTGCAAACATATTGTTGGTTTATAGGTGCCACATCAACTTGTGGTGGTACATGCATGCAACTGTTTTATATGGCCAAAAAGTTGTTTAGTTGACACAAATTCTCCTCCGGTCTTACAATTTTGCCAACAGCAAACAATATTAGTGTTGTTTAACCAGGAAACATATTAGTTTCAAATCAACACTACAGCAGCACATCCCTTTAATTAATGAAGATGAGTTTGCCGAAGCTTATGGTGAGTGCCCGGTGGTTTGTAACTGGCTGACTTTGGCCGTTTTGGCTTCCCCAAACTTTTCTTACCTTGCATTTGTTGGCTTGCATTCTTTGGTATAAAGTATGTGATAGATCATATACATGAAAAAGCATGCACTGAATGAAAATTAAGTAGTGCAAAGAGATTATCTTAATTCATAATATTTACTAAATTAAAACGATATTCTTGATGTGCAAATATTTCAAACCTGAGACAACATCTTTGGTACATGTTGGCAGCAAATCTGCTAAGGAGGTAAAGTCAAACTCGTCTGACGAATGGACAAAATATTCTAGAGTACAAAGACTTTTTGCAACTCCAAACGGGCGAAAATCGAAGCAAGAATACTCCAACATTACAAAATTCAAGGAACCGGATTATGTTCCTGTGGCCTTTTGTACTGTTCAACAGTGCGGTTTCTTTCACGAAACAGGATTTCGAGTCAATGGACTCGACATTATTCTTTTTGGTAACCTCTCTTTCTGGTTTTCCTTTGTATTTTCGTAGATATACGGACCAAAACGTACAGAAACCCAACTTCTTTGGCTTTTTCGAAAAGTTTCCACTCAAGCTTTGACAACTCTGGGATCCTTTTTTGCCTTTCTTTTCAGACTTGTTGTGATTTTAAAGCTTGCTGCCATATTTTCCCATTTAGGTCAAAGTTTGGTGTGGAATTGTAGTCCTATCCGCGTTTTACTAATAGAGTCCAGTCCGCGTTTTAATAATAGAGTCCAGTCCGCGTTTTAATAATAGAGTCCAGTCCACGTTTAACTAATAGAGTCCAGTCCGCGTTTTAGTTCAGTCCGCGTTTTAGTCCAGTCCGCGTTTTACTAATCTGTGTCCAGTCCGCGCTTTTCCAGTCCAGTCCGCGTTTCACCATATGCCCGTTTATCGACCAAATATTGAATATCTAACCCAAACACCACTTATAGCTATAGGTATTAGCTAAATTTGAGCAAAATATGAAAGAAATCCATTTTCATCTATTGCCACTGTTTGCTCGATTTTTATGGACAGTCGCTCTTAAATTCCTTAGTCACCGCAGGGATTTCCTAAAGAAGAAAGTGGTTACGCATAACTCAATCTATCATTATATTTTAATGAGTATAAACAATAGGAACAATTTGAATAAAAAAAAATCAAAGAAACAAAAAGTAATTATTATAAAAGTAAACTAAATGCATGCAAGGGCCACAAAGAGAATTGGAGATTTATTAAACGAATTGCTAAACAATGCATCAAAAACTAATATAATTAATGATTTGATAGTTAATAAAAGAAATATAGTAGGAGATGAGAATATTGCGGAAGAATTCAACAGTTTCTTCTCGCGCATAGGTACACGTTTGTCTGAAAATATAGACGCAAGCGATGTGGATCCACTGTCTTTCGTAACCGCACCTACACCACACAATTTTGAATTTGAAACTATATATCCCATGATAAAATTAGGGAGGAAATTAAGCAAATGAAAACTGCTAAATCATCGGGCTATGACAAAATCTCTGTGAAACTATTGCAGACCGCTGAGTGTGCAATCGTTGAGCCACTAACGTATATATTTAACCAATCTCTTAAGACAGGAATTTTTCCCGATGATTGGAAAATTGCCAATGTAACACTTATCCGTAAATCAGAAGAAAAACCCTATGCGGTAATTATAAGCCGATTCCTGTCCAGTGGCGGCGCCAGCGGGGGGCAAGTAGGGGCAAATGCCCCCCACCCAATGATATTTCCCCCCCCCATTTTGCCCCCCCCCCCCTCAAAAAAATGTATTAGTCACTGAGAGCAACTAAAGGCTACACAAGCGTTTTGTCGTTATCGGAAAATGATGGCTTATAAGTTGTCATCACTCATTAGTGAATGCGCGTATACATGAAACTGTCTGTACAGTTTCAATATTAGTTTGTAAATCTATGAACGGTAAAACTTGCCAATACTCCAATAATACGTTTAAAAAAAGACAAAAAGCTTTCGTTTTGCTAAGTTAAATTCTCAAACGTGTAATGGCCCACACAGACCGGACGCGATTCGGTAACGCGACGCGAATTTTCAGTTTTCAAAAACAAATAAAACCGGCAACGGATAAAAATTTTACAAGGTATGCAGACCAAAATAATAAAATTGCTAAGTGGTCCCGAATATTTGAAAAACAATGGGAAGTATTAAAGTTAAATGTCATTGAAAACTGAAAATTCGCGTCCCCCGCGGGCGGTATTCCTAGGAATATCACCCCCTTTTGAGAGGGGGGCGAATCTCCTGGGGGGAGGGACAAACATCCTGTGACAACGGCATGGGCAAAATCTATCTTGCCCCCCAAAATATGAGTTTGCCTCTCAAATGCCCCCCACCCAAATTCTGAGGCCTGGCGCCGCCACTGTTCCTGTCATTTCTGTAGTTCCCAAAGTATTTGAGAAATTTGTACATGAACAATTAATGAAATATTTTGAACACCACGGCAAATAATTTCTAAATCATCAGTCTGGTTTTCGAACAAATCATTCAACTGAAACATCATTGCTACATGTAATTAACAGCTGATTAGCAAACATCGACGCTGGTTTGATTAATGTTGTCGTATTCCTGGACCTTAAAAAGGATTTGACACGGTAAACCATAAAATTCTATTGTCCAAGACTCCAAATTGGGATGTTATGGGATTCGTGGATTAGCACTATCATGGATTTAGTCATATATTAGTGTAACAAATATGCAAAGTAAACAGCTCGCTTTCAACCTTCCAAAACATTGCATGCGGCATCCCACAAGGATCTATAACCTTGGGCCACTTCTATTTACAATTTATATAAAACGATTTGCCAAATAGTTTAGAAATAACTTAACCCATCATGTTTGCTGATGATACAAGCTTAACTGCAACTGGAGAGTCTTCTTTTGAAAATGAATACAAATTGGGAATGGAAATCCAAAACGTCAAGACTTGGTTAGATGCAAACAAATTAACATTAAATGAAGAAAAAAACGAGTATATGCTAATCGGCTCAGGAAAGCGTTTGAAATAGATAAGAAATTACCCTATTATTAAAATTAGAGATCATATAATCAAACGGGTTTACAAGCAAAAGGTCTTAGGCTTAGAAATAGATGATAAATTACAATGAAAATGATTTCTTGTTCTATATAGCTATGTTACGAAACAAGGGCAGATTTCGTGCTGAACCAATCAGCCCATTTGTTTACATTTTCGCTCTCAGCTAATCATAATGATGATAATGACGATTTTAATGATCCATCTTTAGTTTAAATATACAATGGATTTACAACAATGTCTATTAAAAAAGAGGAGCATAACTAGGCATGCAATAATATTTACAAACTATCGAGAATTTTTATATATACAATTTGGAATAAAAATTTAAAAGTGTAGGAAATTAGTAAAAAGTTAATAAAAACCAAGTTAAGTTTTAATGCAATCCCTGTCTCATTGCTCGTGGGATAAAACTATTTCTGTGTCGTTCAGTGCCTGAAAAAGGTGCGCATTTAAATATACCGTTTCTGTTATGATTATTATGTTCCATAGTTCGTTGATAAAAGATATGACTTGGATCACCTAAGATAGTATCGAGTTCTCTCGATGTGGCTTCAATTCCTCTCTCTTCGAGCGTTGGCAGGTAACCATGTGGGAGGCCAATAATTCGTAGACTCCTCCTTTGCACACGTTCCATTTCGTCCTTTAGATATCGTGGCAGACCAACCCACACTGGAGAACAATATTCAAGGATATAGGCCTGATTTTAGTTAAATAAGTGGTGAGACTACTTTTGAGCAAGGTAGTTCGCTACTGACTTCAGCTACTGCTTAAAAAGTGTAGCAAACTATTTCGCTATTTCGCTACTCTATATTTTTTAGTTTTACGGTATTTGGAGCATCCATTAGCTCAGGCTGTAATATAACCTATAACAAGTCGACTTACGAGTAGCAACAGTAAACAAAAAGGGTCAAATTAAGCAACATTTTTATAAGCACTACAGTGTTCAGGAGTGCCACATTTCATCGCGCTAAAATAATCTTTACTGTATAAAATAATCTTTTAAGCAAACCGTGTCTTAATATCATTTTATTCTATGAACGGTTGCTAACAATTTTAAAAAGTAGCGAATAGCGATTTGCTGTTTGAAAGGTAGTCAACTACTTGGCTACTTTTAGGCATAATGTAGTTCGCTATAACTACAACTACTGTTTTAAAAAAGTAGTAAAAAACTACTGGCTACTTGAAAATTGTAGTTCGCTACAGTAGCGAACTACAACTACTTCGCTACTACCCACCCTTGGTTTCTACGCAAACCTGAATCATTTGCCGGAGCAGTCATGCAGAAACGATTTCGCCTGACCTGTCCGCTTTGCGGTCGGCCTGATTTGAAGAATATCAGTACACATCTTTTACAAGTTCACGGCTTACAATCCAAGGAGAGAAAACCTTATCTTAAGCAAGCCCAGGTGTCGTCATGGCAGCCCTACATCGACAAATCTCCGTACATGAACTCTGAAAAGCAGGGAGAAAAGTGTGTGAGCCGAAGGGCATTCTCGTTGCCAACTAAGAAACCGAAAACAGCACAAGCATCTTTGACCACCAAACCCTATCCGGAATTCAACTTCCGCCATACCCAAGTGGAAAAACATATTTTGTAGAGCAAATTTTGGAAAACAATCGTATCGTGTACGATGAGCAAAAACGTATTCGTATTTTTTGGTGCTACAACCAGTGGCAAGATTGTTACGACAGTTTGAGAAAATTAGAAGGCTCCGTTATTGTCGATGATCATTTTAGCTTCTTTGAGGATATACAAGAACAAAGTACGCTGATAACTTCTACACCTTTTAAACAATCAAATCTTCTAAAAATAGACGAGGAATTGGTTTGGAAAGGTCCGTATGAAAGTCTGAAACTGTTTGTAAAATCCGACTTGGGCATTGACGGTCAATGGAAATTTACTGGCGGAGAAGTAAAGAAATTCACGAGTAAAAGCTATACGTTGAAGTGGCACGGCAAAACAAAGCAGAAGCTCGTTGTAATTCAAGATGATGAGAATGAAAGCCTTCAAGAGAAACTTGTGAAATCTGCCACGTTGGGTAATTTCAAAGGTCATTATGTAGGACAACGCAGTGAAACCATTGGAAACAAAAACACGCTCGAAGGCGTTCAGAAGTCGACATTATTGTCGAACGATGACAAAGACAAAGACAAAAACAAGGCAGAAAACCAAACTGTAGCGGTCAACTTCCCGACCGAAGTGCCCCTAGCTGAAATTTACTAATTTTGTATGTTGTTGTCGTGAAGTCGTGTCACAACTCAAGCGTATCGAAGGTGATATACA